GTTTAAAGAGATTATGTCAGGTTATAAAGGTATGAATCCAGTGTTGACCTAGTTCGGCCTGTCAATATCTCACAGTTGATTTTGTTGCAGCTAACAAGGCGATTCCACCCACTCTCGCCCAGTTGAAGTTACAAGATGCTCAACAGTTCAAAAAGGCTGGTAGAGGAAAACCAATTATAAAAAGCTAAAAGCTCTCATTTGGCATGTTGAGGCTTAGAAAAAATCTATGGAGATTAATGTCGAAGTGGTTTTCACTATTGATGAATGATTTAATAGGACGTTATCGTAAAGCATAGATGCCATTTTTATCTTAGGGAGCAACAATAGATAGTAGTTTAGTAGTTCCTTTTATGTTTATTCGAGATGTTATTGTTCACGTTTGTTTTGCTCATTTTCGTCCCCCTCTTATAGATTTACAAACTGTTAAGTTGTTACTTTCATTCTTGGAATTTGAAACTTTCTGCCACTAGCGAAATGTTCTCTCAGATATTTTACCATCTATGACTGAGTGCCGAGCGGCTGCACTTACATGGTCTTCCTGAGGATTTGATGATTAGTATGGGCTATGTACACTCCATTTCGGAAAGCGAGGAGACCGGCGAGTGCAGACCGCACGCCACAAGTGACGTTTTCTTGGTCCTCGTCATCTGTGGTGTGTGGTCTGCACTCGACGCTCTTCTCGTTTTCCGAAATAAAGGTAGTACCGCTGTGCTCCTAAATATTTGGTCTTGAAAGGTCACAAAGCTGCAAGTGGAAAGTTTCAAATTTCAAATCAATCAAATCAACTGATGATATCGATTACGTGACTATCGATTTTCGACGTTTTTTTAAACTGTGGTAGAACCTCAGACTGAATAGGTTGTAGTTTTGAATATAGTCGTGAACCCGAAATATTAGTCATTGTAAAGGCTAAAATTGTTGTTACTACTGTTGTTATGTAGTCTGTCAATAAGATGTCACTGAATAAAGACGGAGCTTAACCGTTGGGTTGCTGATTTGATTCCTATTTTTTATTGTTGTTATAGGAACAAAATTTACTTCTTTGGAAAAAATATTAAATATCAACAGTCTGAGCGCGTAGTCAGCACTGAAGGGATCCGTACTTGTGAAACTTAAAGGATCGCGGTGGTGACAGTTGATGGTTCTTTAGGGGGTTCAGTTGAAACTATTGGAAATTCTAGGAAAAGTTCATGATGGTATGCACCTACCCGTCACCCAGTTATAGTGAGGTGGAGGGGGGGGGGAGGAGTAAGCAAACCAGCCCTTTTGGCGTTTCTGCTGGGGCCGTATGCTGAATGTTGGGGAGGGGATGGGGTCCCGACGGTCGACGGACTACTTCAACTCGGTCCTTAAAACCGCCTCAATTTGATGCTTACCTCAGGACTAAGCCTTAAAGAGAGGACGGACCTGCGAGAGAGCGCAGGCGTCCTCTCTCCAAGGCTTAGTCCTGGGGTAAGCAAACCAGCCCTTTTGGCGGAGCTGCTGGACCAGCTGCACCACTTGCGTCATTACTCTCCTACCGTACCGACCGAGTTGAAGTAGTCCATCGACCGTCGGGACCCCATCCCCTCCCCAACATTCAGCATACGGCCCCAGCAGAAACGCCAAAAGGGCTGGTTCGCTTACGTTACGGGGGGGGGGGGGGCGGAAGCAAAGCAGTTGATGCTGGATGTATCAGGTCTAGCCTTGGACCCATATCTCTAGGTTGTTTAGCGGTTATTTTAGGAGATTATATAGAGGTTTGAGTATACATCTTTATAGGTCATTACATGAGATAAAGGTTGCTCAAGACGTAAATCTGAGCACGCCTCTCCAACATGCGGACACTGATCGAAGGTTGCACGCTTACGCTGGTAGGGCGTGTCGTGAGTATGTTCTCCAGCTTGTACAAGCTCTACACTTCAGTTGAGGTATGTCAAGAACCCTTGATGATCCTCTTGCTCAAGTTACCCTTTTCCTACTGCAAGCTCTGGAAACATCGCGGTGCATGGTGGGCGGGGGGTTTGCATATCACAATTCGACACATAGAAGCTTGACATTACGGTGCGACCAATTAATCCTACGCCTACTATATACACTTTCATTACGGCGTTAGAATTAGTGCAACGGCATAGTCGAGCTGATTCAGAAAAGCTTCAGACGATGTGTGGCCACGGCGCAGCGCCACGATGACTCAGAGAATCGCGTATAGTCGGCGACGTCGTCCTGGTCGGCACTTATTCATGCGCTCATGCAATGATAGCTGCAGCTACGCTGTCCTACTCCATGCTGCCTGTCTGCCAAGCTCTCATTAATGTAATACTTCTGCTTTACCAGTCAGTAAATTCTGCCTCCTACCTGGGTCAACCGTACGTCCGCACTATTCGAGCGAGGGGTCGCATTGCGATTTTGGGAAAGTGACCTCATTTTGTGGTTGAGCATGGTTCACTACCTCTAGGAAAGTTGCGAAGGGTTGTGAAAAGGGGGTTGTATTGACGGGCTTCCGATGAGTTTGGCGAAAGTTTTGTGAATTATATGGTGAAGTAGACAAAGTAGACAAACATGATACTTATTCACCCCTCACCACCCCCTCACCCCTCTCAAACGGTTGTTTTAGAGGAAAAAGGAGGTAGTTGAGTGTGTCGACCGGTCTCAGAATCAAGTACTAGAGAATCGGCGTTATAGTGAGGGTGGTGAAGGGACTAGGGAGGAGGGGTGTCGTAGTGTCGAATTGGGGAGTCTTGAGGCTGATGGTGGTGGTGGGAGGTTGCACCGAGACACACTAAAGGGGGTGAACGCGACGGTTGACCCTGCTCCCAGCTAGGTTACGACAATGGGATGCTAGATGTAATCTTCCATTTACCTGTCATGCTATAAGCAGTTACAGAAGGCTCCCTCTCGTTCCATTCTTCCACTTCCCCCACCCCTTCCTCCGCCCTCCGAGCCACTTCTTGTTTTTGAGACTACGGTAAACTTCTGGACTGACTAACTTGATTCTAAAATAAGCTATGTTGTCACCACCAAGTTCGTTGAGCAGTGATGGTTGCCAGAGTGACAACCTGTTGAAATAACTAGTTGTAAGTGAGGTAGCCAGGATTACTGCCCCACCCCTGCAGGTTTGGAAGTGCTTCACCCATTCTACAACACTGGGCTTCTAGATGGTTCCCTTTTTGTTTGCGTCTTTCTTGGGTCCATTGCTATCATTAGATCCGTGTCGTGCCCACTCTATTAACAGTAAGAGGTTCAGTCACCTACACAAACAGTAAGGCCTCCTTCTCTGCCGGTTAGTGGCTTTTGATCCCTACTTGTGTGATGAGCGAACCTTTTGTGGTGTAAAGGTCATCGAAATGGCTGACTCAGACAGTATTTCCAAACGACTCAGCTGAGATGAAGTCGTGGAAGAAAGGCTGCTGTGCTTTACATTGAATCAGTTCTTTTGATCACTAGCTCGACAGGAGCGCTCGGCAGGAGCGCTATCTTCTTGCATCTTCTTCTTTCTTTCTATCTATCTTTCTTTTTCTTATCTTCCTCTTGAATGTCATCACAAGGCCCCAATTCGGGCATCAAGCCAAGTGTCAGCCAACCTCCGAAAAAATGCGCTATTCTTTGCTTTACTGATTTAGCGCGTGTGTGATGTTTTGTTCAGCATTAATATTATGTGTAGTCGAGTGATGATATACGAAATTATTATTATTACCATTATACGTTTAATATACAAGAGTATACAATACAGTAATTATTATCTGTACGGTGGAATAATAAGCTTTGCCGCAATCCGCGGCACTACCAAGTAAGACTAGTTATTTATTAATTTGATTTGAAAATTAAATCAAATTATACTGAATAACTTGATAGAAGAGCCAACATATAGTAATAGAATCTAACTAAAACTATAATAATGGAGTTTCTGATGAGAAGATTTAGAATGTTAAATGAAAAAAAAATAAGGAAGTTTTTAGAAATTGAGCAGCTCAAGCATCGGGTATGTGGTAGTAGAAGTAATAAGGTTCCGACCATGAACTAATTTATATGCACACGTATTTCTTTTATTGGCAACTGAGAAGCCATCACTCAGGGTCGGTTCCTATCGTGTACTTTTCAAAAAATGGTTTAATTACGACCCCTCCCTCATAAAATGTTTCATACGACCCCTCCTTCAATACAATTTTTACCCCAAAAATACCACCGATCGGTGGGGGTATATACTTCCCATAAAACCGCAAAAATTCCCTACATTTCCCTGCAGTTTCCCTATATTTTACCCATTTTATTTTTATATATTTCCCTATATTTTACCCATACTTCAACTACTCCCTTTTCTAGGGAATATATACGCGCGCTGAAACGGCAAATTTTCTCCCGCGCCGCTCCCCACTCATCACATGCAACTTCTTACAACCGAAGCAAGTACGACCCCCCTCTACAAACTCATCAAAATACGACCCCCCCCGTTGCTACTTGTAGCAACATAGGGTTGACCCTGCATCCACTTTCAATCAGGGACCAGCCAATATAGTCCATGCTAAACTTTCTCAGTTCCATAAA